AAACTCTTATTGATTATTTTTCCTATGTCATCAGATCATATATAGTAATAAGAATAATTAAATAATAAGTTACTGGCACCCAGATTCCTTAACTGAACTCTAATGAACATGTCTTACATCTGTTTAAACTAGTTAAATTTTTGCAGGCTAAATCATATCTAAAAAACTTTGTACTTGCAAGTGTCAACCCATCAGTAAGTGAAAAATCGAAGTGAAAAGAAAGATTTTTTTAGACTTTAGCTTAGGCTATTATATATTTTTTAAGCATAGAATCCAAATCTTCTCCATTTCCTTTCTTGCAGATAGACCAAATAAGTCGTCACTCTAAATGATAAAAGTTTAGCTTGGCATCCATAACACCCACCTAATTTTGGGTAATCCTGGCCTGTTTTCCATAACCAAATGGAAAAGCAAATAACGGAGGAACTGTAAGCCCAAATTACATGTGTGATATATCATTTGAAAGCTAACACCTTATAGTTTCGAAAATATAAATGAAAATAGTGTGACTAAATCACACCATAAACTCCATTAGTTCAAACATGACTCAAAGTTGTTGTTTTTTTCTTCATGAAAATAATAGGTATATTTGAACATCAGTAATAAAAACATGCTTGAGAATAGGCATGTCTCATGGTATTATATTTATTCTACGTCAAGTCAGCCGCAAATGCAGAACATTTTAGACCTCTGGGCACAACAGTTCCAGAGCTGTGGGGCTTTGAACTTTTATGGTCACCAGCGTCTCCAAACTTGTCCAAATGTCTAAAATTGTGCCAAATGGTTTTATGCAACAATTGGACCCATAGAAAAACACTGAAAAAAATTAATGGCAGCAAAACTTTTATGAAGGAAGTATTTTTCCACTTTTTATTTTCATTTTCATCTGACGATTGACAGTCACCACACATTTCACCTGATCGTAAGGTTTCTTGATACATTTTTTTTTCCAGTTATAATTCAGAGCATATAATGGAAAATAAAAAAAGACAAAGAACTTAGAACTAAAGTTAAGGTAACCTTTTTATTCCATTGCACAAATTTGGAAAGATCACAAATAATGAAATAAAACTTTGTAAAACAAAAAAATAAGTAAACAAATATATAGGACAATATATGTTCACAAAATAAAATCTTAAATAAAAACTGCAGCTCTTTGATGGTGTATAAACAAAAGTGATTATAAATGTATAAAAAAATGAAAATGGATAAAATATCCATATAACGAAAGCAAGCACTAAAAAAAAACATAATCATATAAAAAATGTAACAATAAACCTAAAATAACATTAAAAAAATAGTGAAACTGCTGCTTTTCAAGTGTCCATATGAAACAAAAAAAAAAAAAAAAAAAATAGGCATCCTAGTGTCTAATTTCTCACAGCCTTTCTCTGTGTTTCAGAGATTTTAGCATTCCCTCTATGACATAAAACAGAGAGGCGCATTACAAGACTGACACCCCACTGGTGACTTATATAAATAAACTCCAGGGCCTTTTCTGAGCTGTTTTTGTTGTTTTATGCTTTTTTTTCTGCCACAGGCTTTGTAATTACACAAAATTAACAACCAAACTTCATAAATATCTGAGCATTGTTCGTAACAAACTTCTAACTGCGCACAGTGATCCTGTTTCATCATTGTTTCTAATTGTTACGCACGCCAGTAACACAGCTGTGCGTTATGAAACATAGAATTCCTTAGCTTTGTTTGAAACCTTATTTAATTGGCTACAAAGTCAAACAGGGCAATTGTTCTTTACCAATAACAGCAAGACTTTATGAGACATAATATCGCTCTAATCAGTGCGTAATTTTCTGACAGGCAATATACATTTACATTTCTATACATTAAATAAAATTGTTTTTGAGCAATATAGAAAAAATGTATGGAAAATATTTAGGGTGTTATTAATAAAATAAGTTTCCCTGTTATTATTAGTTAAACAATGAGGATATAATGACCTAGAACAGTATTTCTCAATCCTCATATCTCTTTATTAATATCTTTATTTTCCATGAATTGTTCAGTGTAATTCGCTTGGTCCGAATCACCTTGACAACAGAGATGTTAGGAGTTTTTCCTGAGCTAAAACAGGAGAGGCGGGAGATCAGTGTGAGCACACCAGAACCAGGAAAAGGCAGCCAGCCATGCCCCCTCTGGAGCTAAGGAACCACAAAGGTAGAGGAAGCAAAAAAGGTAGACAAAGCAAGCAGGAGAATTGAGGAGAACAACAATTGATCAGAGAAGCCTGTTGTGTTAAAAGAGCACTAAAGATGAAGAGAGGCTATGGCTGGCCCAGGCTAGCTATAGAGGCTAAATGCAGAGGTTTGAAGCAGGACAGAAGAAGATAGGATAAGTCCGCCAGGCCATGAGGAAGACAGTGGTACATCGGAGCGGACCGCCAGGCAGACAGAGCAGGAAGAGATGGCAGCAGACAGAGGCTGGCTTTTATATGCTAAGTTACACCTCTGCAAATTCTTGAGTACAAGTACACAAATTGTGTTCTGTGAGTTGGGCATCCAAAATGTCTTCCATTCAGTTTTGCTACAGTTGATGTAAAGCAAATGGTGCAAAACAAATTCAAACACGTGTATTAAAATCTTTAAAAAATGAACAATCTATAAATTCCACAGGAAAACAAAATGAGAATAAAGTCATATTCTAACTAGTTAATCAGGCAGACTCTTTTTCTGATTGGAATCTGGTTCAGTTAACAAAATCGATAGATAAACTTGTAGGAGAAGTCGGAAGTGCCAAAATACTATATAGTGGAGACCTATTAATCAACTGCAGAGACAGCGCTCACCAAGGCAAAGCCATTTAGATTAACAAGATTGAGGGGAAAAGAGTTCAGCGCAGCTTGGTGGAGAACAAAAGGATTAGCAGGGGACTGATTGGAGGAGTTCCTCTAAAAGAAACTGAAAAAGAGATTCTAGAAAACATCAATGGTGCAAAAGTAAAAGAAGTGAAAGGGTCAAAAACAATAAGAAACGGAGAAAGGTGTGACAGCTTCTCTGTTTTGATTAAATTTGAAGAAGAGCAATTACCCAGCAAAGTTCTCATTGGTTACATGAGCTACAATGTAAAAATGTACAATCCTCCACCTCTGAGATGCTTCAAATGCCAAAAATGTGGACATAGAGCTGTAGAGATGTAAAGGAAAACAGCGAAGTGGAAGGTGTGCTGGAGAGCACGAATATGGAAAAAAAAGGGAAAGAAGTTAAAATCAAATGCTGTAACTGTAGTGGAGAACATGCTGCTGCATATCGCGGCTGTGAAATGAGGATCGGAAGAAATTAGAAAAGTGAAATTTGAGCTCGAAATAACATATGCTGAAGCTGCAAAAAGGATCCCATTCCAGTCAAAAAGACCCAAACCAACATTTAAGCTCATGACAAGTTCAAAACCTCTGGAGCAATGTCCCAAGATTGAAGGAGATTTATTGATTGCAAAAAAAGGAAGATTGTGTTCTTTTCACGGTAGAAGTGATCAATTGTAGTGCACAGACGGCAAGAAAAACAGAAAAAAATCAAAATAATAATGAAAGCTGCATAAAAGTATCGGGAAAGGGTAACGATAAATTATGAGGGCAAATGTGTTATTATGTTGGGTTAAGTTAAACAGTTCAGAAAAATATTATCATTATATATTTTTTTATTAATTTTTTTTTTTTCTGCGGTTGAGTCTTGTTTACTGTTTCCTTGTTTAACTCCTTATTAGTTGGTGGCTGTAATGCACTTTTAACTAGTTTGCCAACCTCCATAAAACCTCACAAGAAGAAGGAGAATGATCTGTGACTTATGGGTGGTATCCTTGATCAGACAGCAGGGGGCGCTACTTCTCGGTCAGTCTGTACCTACCGGAAATACATATATGGCATACTGCCATGTTGCCTTCCAAGGACCCAGCCCACGTATGTTGTCAATGGATGTGTACAAATTTAATGCCGCTTCTTCCAAGGACGAGGCCTACCTGCACTGGATCCTTTAAGGTCCTTGAAAATAAGAAGACTGGAAGAGTTTTGGCTGTGAATTCAAACAGGTCCACCCTTCGGTGGCTTTTACCGCCATAGGTCTGTCGCTTAGCAACCGTGTCAGTTGAAAAACAAAGCAGGAAAAGAATGAATACCCATTTTAAAAATGTTTCTTCTAATTTATTTATTTTTTATTGTAAAGAGAATAACGACTACACTCATGATAATAGAGAGTGGAATAAGTGTGAAAATGTAATGATATGAACCTTAGTCAGTTAAATAACATGCTGCTGTCATTTTGCACATCTCTGATGTTGCAGCTATTTTCAAATTTATTTATTCTCCAGGTGCACAGTTTTATATTGTTAAAACACTTTAACAATGTAAAACTGTGCACCTGGAGAATAAATAATACAGTACAGTATTTTATTGTTTATCTTTTAACTCTTTACTATTATGTTATTCTTATACATTTTTCTAAGGTACACATTTGTTTGACCATTTTTTTCAAATTTTTTATTTGCTGTAGTAAACACCAGAATTTCCCTATTGTGGAACAATAAATGGATTTTAGATTCTATTCTATTCAATAAAAGTGGTAGAAAGGTATAATTAAATCTAAACAAAATATATCTGCAAAATATCTTATGTTCAAAAACAAAAAATACTTAGTTAAGCAAATTTTGCAAAATAATAATTTAAAGATAAAAATCATATATTCATAGTCGCCACACTGCAGATATATTAGAATCTGTCCTTAAATCACAGCTGTACAAGTGTGGTGATTATTAGAAGTGCAGTTGAATATAATCCTAGTCTGTGAATATGTTGGGATCTGGAGCTGTACCACCTTCCTCCAGCAGAGTGCGCCGTGGGTCTCCTGGAGCTGGAGCTTTCCAGCACACCTGAGACGCATCTACTCATCAGGAGACCTCTCCTTTATAACCAGCTGCCAGACCTTCCTTCGACGCCGCAGTGTTGACCTTAGTTTGGTTAGCAACCTGAGCCTCTGAAACTGAAAGAATCTATGTTACTCCTCTAGAGATAATCAAGGCTCAACGTCGTTCTTTTGGTTTTAACAGCCATTTATTGTGGACACGTCTTATAAAGCCCCAAAAAATGCCGTCAGAACTAAGAAGGGAAACAGAACCCAAATTAGCTCTAAACAAATATAAAGCTTTACACAAATAAATATAGGTAAAACAAAGTCATACCTCATTGGCCGCATAAACTCCAGAGGAATAAAGATAACTTATACAGCTTTTCTTAGAAAATCAGTCTTAAAGCTTTCTGGTGAAACTTCTTGAAGAAACGTGCAAAAAAAGAATTGTGTCAATCAATCTTCCCGTGGGCAACAACGTGAAATGCGGAACAAAAAACATAGGTTCCTCCTTACATTTTAATGAGCTTTTTAACCAATGTACAAAAACATAAATTTACTGAAAGTTATTTATTTATTTATGATTAAACTTTTAATTTCAATACTATTATGTATTAACTCTCGTTTTGAACTAAATATTAGAATATTTAAATGAGTTGACTCTGATGGCAGCTACACTCCCACCAAATCACTTGTGATTTCCTTGATAACTTAAAAGAGCGTCTACCCTGCCTCCAACAATGTCACTGTCTTATGAATAGGTCTGTCCAAGTATACTTGTTTAGTCTGTCTCTTGCCATGGTTATCGAAGGAAGAGTCACTGATCAATAGCTGCACCTTTCGCACACATCCATCTTCACTTGGATAAACTGCTGTGACCTTAGCAAGTTTCCAGTCGTTTCTTGGTGCTGGTTCATCTTTGATGAAGACTATGTCATTGACTTTTGCATTTCTTCTTGTTTTCTGCCATTTTTGTCTGTGATGTTGACCCAACAAATATTTCTTTTTCCATCTTTTCCAGCACTCAGTGGCTAGGTATTGAAGTCTTTCTTTGACATAAAACGGGCCAAAACAAGCCCTCCCACGATGTGTGCATGGGGAGGTTGTTTCCATGCTCTCATTAGGCAGGTTTGCCATTTTCTGTGCTTCTGTTCCTCGTCTGGATTTCCTGCATTTGACACAGTTGTAGATATAGGATGACACTGCTTGACTACATCCAAGTATCCAAATGCCATTTGCTCTTATCTCATTTATTGTCATGCTCCGGCCCTGATGTCTCACACGTTGATGATAGTGATCAATCAGTAACCTTGTGATGTGGCTTGTCTTTGGTAAAATAGCTGGGTGCTTGACGTATGGATGAAGAGTAGCTTGCTCTAACCTACCTCCCACTCTGAGGACACCTTTGTGGTCGAGAAAGGGGTTGAGTCTATGGAGCTTATTTGTCTTGTCTTTCGTTAACTCCTTTCGGGACTGAAGCTCCTTGATCTCTTTGGAGAAGACTGAGCCTTGTACGATGGCTATGATCGCAAGTTCAGCTTCTTGTCTTTCTTCAAGACTTGTAGGTTCATTGGTTCTCTTTTGCTTTCTCTTAAACTCTTTCCCAAATCTGATGAGCCTTGCGGTAGCTTTGACTAGTCTTGACCAGCTGGAGAACTTCACAAAACGTTCCGCCAAAGAATCTATACTTGCCAGCTTGTGGTTCGCAAATACTTTCCATACTTCTGGGTCTTCTGATCCAGCTTCTCCCACCTTAACCTCTCCACTGGGTTGATCACAATGTCCATCTTCTTTAACTTTCACTCCATCTTCCATTATAGAAATGAAACATAAATCCTCTTGAGAGAGATGAGAATCTTCCACTTTCTTTTCATTAAAATCAGATTTGAGAACTTTAATCACACTTGATGGCGTGAAAACTTCCTTGACCTGAGTGCGGCAAATAAAGTGCACCTCTTTAGATAGCTGATCAGATGGTGTACTGGTTGTTACTTCCTTAATTATCCTGTGACTACATCCAATAATTTCCCCATAGTCAACACAATGATCAACACCTCCGACTATTGTCCAGCCGAGATCTGTCCTTTGAGCGAAGGGCTCATTGTCCTTTCCTGACACAACTTCTCTTGGTGCCAATGCTTGCGAACAGTTATAACCTATTAATAGAGCAACATCGCATTCAATAAGAGGGGCAATTTCTTCAGCCAGGTGCTCCAGGTGAGGCCATGCTCTTGCAGTCTTTGGTGTGGGAATATGGCTTAAATTGGCAGGAATAAAATCTCTAGTATATGTCATAGGAAGAGGGATTCTCTTTGAAGAGTAGAAGCCTCTGATTTGTAGCCCAGAGAGCCTTTGACTTGGAACAACCGTATCTTTAGATGACAATGTAGGGAGCTTTAAATGTACTTCTCTTTTCTCTGTGTCCAGAGCATCTGCCTTTTCTTTGAGAACAAATGTAGTGTCACTTTGACTATCCAGAAGGGCGTATACTAATATTTCCTGTTCTGGATTGCTTGCTGTGGATAACCAAACTGGAATCACTGTAGATGTAAGATTGCTCTTATCACCTTGGATCACACGGTTTGAGATTGCTTCATTTGATATTTCTTTACCTTGTGCTTTGGTTACTTTCACTTCACTTTGTTCTTCATCGCTGTCCCTGTTTCTTCTGGACTCTTTGTCCCGTTCTTCGTGTAAACATGTTGGGTGTTTTCCCTTACAGGTGTTACAAATGCTTCTTCTTTCACATTTTTTGGATTGGTGTCCAAAACTGAGACATCCAAAACATAGTCTTTTTAATTTTACAAACTTCACTCTTTCAGGTATGGCTTTCTCCATAAACTTCCGACAATTCTGAATGTCATGATTTAATTTTTCACAGAAAACACATTTGTTTGTTTCTGTTCTCTCTTCTGTGCTGCTTGCAAAGGCCTTAGCACAGACACTTTGAGCCTTTAAAGTTTTCACTTTCTCTGAGTCATTTGCCTTGAGAGCATGTAGCGATGTCACTGGGTTACATGCTATTTTAGCTTCTCTTGTGACAAAGTCAACAAAGTTGCTAAATGTTGGAAATGAACCCGTCTCCTCTTCAATCTGAATGACTTGTCTATTCCATCTTGCTGTAAGCCAATCAGGCAACTTGTTGAGCATTCTCTGGTTCTCACTGCAGTCATTTAAAACCTCGAGACTCTTTATCTGAGACATTGCTGCTTCACAACCCCGGAGAAAATCAGAGAACTCTCTCAGTTCAATACAGTCCTTTGTTCCAATTTTCGGCCATGATGAGAGCTTATCTCTGAAGGCTTTAGCGATTATGAATGAACTTCCGTATCTTTCCTCTAGAATGTTCCAAGCTGACTGATATGCTGTGTCTGTTTCCAGTAGAAAGTAAGCTTCGATGGCCTTTCTTGCAGGACCACCAACATACTTTCGTAGGTAGTAGATCTTTTCACCCACTGGAATGTTCTTTCTTTCAATCAGCATTTGAAAGGAAATTTTCCAGTCCTTGTATTTGATTGGATCACCATTGAAAACAGCAGGTTCAGGAACTGGTAGCCGGCTAATGCTGATGGTCTCTGCTAAAACCTTAGCTAGTACTGCTGTTCCATCTTCCTGTGTTGTAATGTTGGTAGGTTGCCCAATAGAGGTGTCTTGTGGCATGATGAAAGCTTGTGCTCTTGGATTGAGGTTTGAAGTTGGAAGCTTGGGTTCAGACTGGTTTACAACATTGTCTATGCTTCTTTGTGATTGGCTCCTATTATGCAAAATATCTGATATTTCTTCATCAGAGCTGTATTCCTGATCATACACTTTCAGTCGTGCTTTAGCAGCATTAATTTGCTTTACAGTTTCTAAACGCTTAAGCTCTCTTCTTCTTTGCTCTAATAATCTTTGAGTTTCAGCATTTTCTGCTTCTTGTTTTGCAAGCCTTTCTTTGTTTTCTAATTCAAGCTCTTCCAGTTTCTCTCTCTCACACTCCATTTCTTCCATCATCTTTAGAGTGGCTTCCATGGCAGCCAGTTCTGCTGCTGCCTCTTGCCTTTTGACAGACAGCTTACTTGAGTGGCTTGAACGTACACTACCTGACTGTTTGGAACTTTGGTAACTTTTTGGAGTGCTCACGGAACTAGCTTCAGTACGGCCCAATGATCTCTTTTCTAGATCCCTATCATATTCTTTTGCAGCCATGTTTTCTTGGGCTTGCTTAATAATTTTTCTGGAAACTGCATCACATGTGTCCACTCTACGACGAGTGTCTCTATCAGGTGTTTCAAAACTGCGCATCTCCTCATAGACTTGCATCACTTCTCCTGATGTATATTGAATTTGAACAATATGATTGTGCAAACTTGTTGTTATATGTGCTTCAAGTGCTCTTTTAGCTTGTTTAGCAGCAGTTTTCCATTTGTCATAACTGATCTTGAAACAAGCATAAAGCTTGTTCATTTTTTCTTCGTGCATCACTCGGCCTTTTTCAGTTAATTTTCTGTCTTGTGCTTTTCCTTAAGCCTTCTGCAGAAGCAGCTTCACTTGTGGTTAGCTCTCCAGGGTTTCCTTTTTGTTGCACCTTCACAGCTTCAGTCATACAGTCTTCCTGCATGGCCATTTCACTGTCCATTTCGTTTATGTGATAAAGGTTTTCTTAAATCTAACTTAAAAATATTTCTATATTAAAATGTAGCTTCTAGCACTAACCTTTCAATTATAATTTTTCCTTAAATGAACTTAAATTTAGTGTAACTTTAACTCTACTTAAATACCACCTTTTTTTTCCCTTATTTTTATTTATTTATTTTTTTAAACTTAAATTATTTCTATCTTCGGGATGAACTAAAATGTGGTATAACACCTTAAACAGAACAATACATCTTCTTTCACTTGTTACAAAACACAGAAAAAATATCTTTCATGTGAAACTAAATTATAACTTGCCTTTAAAGTACCTTAGTTCACTCTTAAATTGTTAAAACTCTTGTAATAGACCTAAATAGCTTGGTAAAAATTACCGTGCTTCAAACAGAAAAAAATTCTTAAACTTCAGCTTGACTTTATGCAACACTGCTTACCCCCTTAAGCACTTATAGAGTCCCTTTCAAAGTTAGCAAGATTAATTCACCTCTTCACATTTAACTTATTTTAAACGTGTTACTTGGTGGTAAATTAAGCCCGCTGCACTCCTGGACATCTGCTGCCTTTGGTTCGGGTCATTTCAGCGTGTGGTCAGTCTTTCCTTTGATGCTAGAGAGTGACGTCACCCCTTAACGAGCTGCTCCTTCGTCGGCTCCGCAGCGGCTGCAGGCTCCGCTCCCCTCTCTGCACTTCTCCAACCCGAAGCAGGCTGAGTTCTGACTGTTACTCCTCTAGAGATAATCAAGGCTCAACGTCGTTCTTTTGGTTTTAACAGCCATTTATTGTGGACACGTCTTATAAAGCCCCAAAAAATGCCGTCAGAACTAAGAAGGGAAACAGAACCCAAATTAGCTCTAAACAAATATAAAGCTTTACACAAATAAATATAGGTAAAACAAAGTCATACCTCATTGGCCGCATAAACTCCAGAGGAATAAAGATAACTTATACAGCTTTTCTTAGAAAATCAGTCTTAAAGCTTTCTGGTGAAACTCTTGAAGAAACGTGCAAAAAAAAGAATTGTGTCAATCAATCTTCCCGTGGGCAACAACGTGAAATGCGGAACAAAAAACATAGGTTCCTCCTTACATTTTAATGAGCCTTTTAACCAATGTACAAAAACATAAATTTACTGAAAGTTATTTATTTATTTATGATTAAACTTTTAATTTCAATACTATTATGTATTAACTCTCGTTTTGAACTAAATATTAGAATATTTAAATGAGTTGACTCTGATGGCAGCTACAATCTAGTTGTCTCTGTTGAGAGATCAGATTCTAACTCTTCTCTGTTTTTGCCTCACAGGAAACCTGTCTCTAGCCTGAAGCTCTGGGTGAGCTTAACCTGCCAATCTGCCCTGGTGAACCAAACCTGAAGATTCCTATGTGGATTCCCCTGCTGCTCTTGGTGAAGAGCTGGAAACTCAGATCAAGGTCTGCCATTCAAAGTCAGAAGTTAGACGCTGCAGCTGGTCGTATCCTCTGCTGAACCAACAGTCTCTGGACCCAACAGTTCCCTCTCTCTCAAAGAGAAGCCTGGACTCAGTCAAGGTAGAACCTGAATAATCAAGAACTCATAACTCATCTGCCTGCTCCACTAACCAAACTATCATCTCTGCAGACTTCAGTGAACCTGCCCGGACCAGTTCCAGAACCAGTACATTATCTTGTGTTGTTGAAACTTTCAATAAACTCTGTTAAACTTTTACCCAGCCTCCGTTGTGTTCTGCATGTGGGCTAAGAACCTTAAACCCATCATGACAGAACACTGCGGCCAAACACAAAGCCCAGCAGATCACCTCCGGAGGAGGCTTGAGGAACAGGACGCTCAGATCCTTGGACATGCGCATACCCTCCGTGAGTTACACACAAAGATTGAACATCAGAACCAAATGCTACAAACGTATGCCAGCTACATGGGTAATGCTAACGCCACACCAGCAGTACGTCCAGTTCCGGATCCAGTTCCGGATCCACTTCCGCCTCCGAGGTGACCGGCAGTGACGTCACCTCCTGATTTCCGTCCTAGTCCGCCTGAAAGATTTTCAGGTAACCCAAGAGATTGTAAAGGATTTCACACTGAGCCTGGTTCTGCTGGAGGTTTCTTCCTGTTAAAAGGGAGTTTTTCCTCTCCACTGTCGCTACAAGCATGCTTAGTGTGGGGGATTGTATTTGAGTCAATGAGTCAATGCAATCAACTGGTTTTCCTTAGATAGCAAACTTTGTATCAATTTGATCTGGTTGAACTGTAAAGTGCCTTGAGATGACATGTGTTGTGAATTTGGCGCTATATAAATAAACTGAATTGAATTGAATTGAATTGTTCCAATGTCGATTAC